CTGCAACACCTGAAGTCCAAGGTGGTATTCATGAGGAAGGAGAGAAAAGGGACACTCTGCGTACCCTTTTCTAAGGGGTACTCCAGGATGCATAGTAGACCCAACTCTGTTTCTGGTCTATCTACATGCCAGATTGGCAGAGGCTTGGGAGCAAGAGGATCTGGGGAGGTGGTAGGATGGGCAGCTTCCACAGAAGGCCTTCCATCCCCAACCAAAGCCCCTATACCATGCTCCTGAACAAGCTCTTAAATACATCCTTTAAATTTATAATACCAGAAAAGGTTTAGAGAAGAGCAAGAAAAACAATCAAACATATGGAATGGCTTCTACAATGAGGAACAATTTTTCAACCTGGAAAAAAGATGACTTGGGGGATATGATAAAGATTTACAAAAATCACATATGGCATGGAGAGGTGGATTGGCACTGACTATTCACTATCTCTTCCAATACAAGAACAAAGCCAGTAAGACTTGGGTTCAGAGCAAACAAAATGACTTGTTTCTTCATACAATAGGTCTGACAAACATTTGGAGCTTCTTGCTGAAAGATGTCGTGAATGCAAAAAGGCTACATGATTTTAAGGGCAAAGTTGACAAGTTCTTGGAAGAGATATCTATTGAGGTTTATTAAAGAAACAAATTACATCAGGCTCAGGAAAACCCTGAGCTGAAAATAGTCTTAGGCTGGGAAAGTATTCAAGAGAAATGTACATGCTTGGTTGTTCTTGCAATTCCCTAGGCATCCACTTGTGGCCATTGGGCCAGTCAGAATACCAGACTAGATATATCCTTGGTCTGAACCAGTATGATTGTTCTTAGGTACTTTGCTTTAACATTTTGTACTATCTTTATACTGTTTGATAAGATATACAAGTATTAGTTATACTGTGTTCTGCAGAGACTAGCTGATAGAAATTTCTCATAGCAAATTCTAAATATGCTAGAGATGGCAGATTGCACATCTGAAGATCATCTGGAAATGCAAACAATCCATAAAGTAGACTTAAAGAGTGGGACTTCTTGTATAAGATGCTAGTTGGTCTAATTATGACCTTATTTAAAAAAAAAAAGAAAATCTAAACTCTGTAAGAGACAACATTTTGGAAAAGTCCTGACAGCAGAAGAATGTAAAAAGGCCTTCTCTTCAAGATCAAAAAAGAAAGGCACTGAAAAGCTGTTATCAGAAGCCACAAATTATTTCATAGAAGTAGCTTTTCTTCCCTTATTTTTTTTTTTTTTTAGGAGAAAATTTTCAGTTTAAATCCCTGCAAATAAAATCAGTTCCTTTTTTGCTGTTTAAAGTTTTCTTTCTCGGAACAACAACAACAGAAAAGTGATAGATATTTTTCAGAACACATTAGTGACTTCTATCTAACCTTACTTTTGTTCATTAGTAAAAAAAAAAAAAACAAAACTTTGATCCTTGCACATATAAAATGGCATAAAATTATTCTGATATACAAAATATTGTATATCAAAATTTCTATATATACAATGTCATAAACATCTACCTTTTATCAATAGCTGTTTTATATTCCAATTTGGCAAGGTCATTTAGTGCTGTCTCTAGTTGTAACAGTTACATGAAATGATTTGAGTATATTTTTACTAATTGAGTAATTATCTAGCAAAGAGCAATTGTTGTAAAGTTCAGAAAAAAGGATCATCTCTTCAGAAATTAAGAAGAGATTCATTCTTTGAGAATGATTTAAGTTTTAAACGTTTACTGTGAGAGAAAAATCTGTATATATTTGGAATTATTTGAATCAGAATTTCCTATTCCTATTAGGCCCTGATGGACCTAAGTGGATACCTTTGCATAGAAGGAAGGGTTAAAACTTAAAGTGATTTGATAATTTCCTTTTAACACAGGCAGCTACAACCCTCCTATCTATATAACAGCTGATTATATATTTATAAGCTGAAGATGCGTGACTGACCAATAACCCTACAATGGGAGAAGGCTCAGAGGGCCAGGTGCCCCATGAAGATCAAGGGCAGTGTAGGATGCAGCTCGTTAATTCTTGCTGTTGCACAGAGAACTGACTATCTCAACACAAAGGGGGCCAGAGGGTGACTTTGGTTTTAGATAAGCAGCCATATCCATTAGTTAGACCTGGTGTAAATGTTTCTTGAGTTGTTCAAAGGAATGTGAAGGTCTCCCTGAGAATAGCCAGACCAGCATGGGGGGAGTACATATGTGGCTCAGGCCAACAGAAAGTATAAAACCTCAACAACTAACAAAGGAATTTCAAAGAGAGCAACAGGCATAAGCTGGCATCAACCCACATATTCTTTCCCGGCGATTGGGGACGCCCAGCGTCGTGACAATGGGCATGTTATAGAGACCCGTAATAACAATCACATTGATTCAGCAATATACTGAAATCACAACACAAGTGTATACACTTAACAAAATCTAGCTAGACAGTTCAGTCACAATATCACTCTGCTAAATCAAAAATCCTGTGTAACATCAAATTCCCTCAAAACAAACTTTTATATAAAACATTACACTCTCCATATGCGTGGAATATCCAAAAGAACCTGCTCAGAGTGTACTGGACTCTGACAAGATGTTTCTACATTCTACAAACGTGTAGAGTCGGGGAACGAACTTCAGCCATTTCTTTTTATTTCTGCCAAGGCCTAAAAGAGGTTTGATTTCTTCCTTTAAAGAAGATGGGCACATAAAGTTCCCTGATTTGAGAAAAAACAAACCAACAGCCCAATGCTTTTATACCACTTTATGGCACTTACCACAGCTCATCCTGTTCACCTTTCCAAGCAAGTAAGCATGCAAATGATAACTTACAGAACAAAAAGGGCAGTAGAGCATTGAGAAGAAACAGCATTCAGGTAAACACTTGCTTAACCATCATGGGTAAGATGAAGGTTGCTAAAGCATTACCATGGAATTAGAATCACAGTGTTCTGGCAACAATTTTTATGAGATAAAGTTATCCAACCTTTAGAAATACCCTTTCTGTCCCTTATGTCATTAAGAAGGAATTTAAAATTCAATGAAAATACAACCCCCCACCAAAACTTTCAATGTATTATTAGCTAAATTAAACTACCTTTATTTGCTGGATAGAAAGGAAAAATAAGTTTATCAAAGTAGGTTTTACCTTTGAAACAAATTGACTTATTAAAGAAAGTACTATCCATTGTTAGCAAGTTGCCATTTATGGTTGTCTCTCATCATAATACTATGCAGGTGAATGAGTGTGAGCTCTTCAATCACCCAGAGATCCATTAAAATAGAAGAACCTAGTGGAGTAGTTGTTTGTTCAGCATCTCAAGATTAGGTTCTATAATAGAAAGTAACAAGCTATATCTTCACCTGGAAAAATGGCATCATTTTACTAATTTAAGATTATTCTGTTACAGACTTAAAATTCCATCAATCAGAGAAGGATTTAATTATATTTTATATATTCACAGATTTTTCAGTATTTTTTATAAATACTTGTGGCTGTTAATTGATAAAGATTACATAGGGCATTGAAAATCACAACGTATCTATGAATAGGTTACAGATGCTTATGCTTATAAGACCAATTTCAAGGTGTATCTGTGCTACAGGTGAGATGGAGTACTTGTACAGTATGAGGCACATGTCAGGTGCTTAGGGCTACAGATGTTAAAAAGAATGCAGGATTGTTCAAAGCACATGTAGGTAATACATGTGTGGATAAGAAACTGTGTATGAAATAGAAACATCACAGATGGCATGATAAAATTACATGGTGTACATATATGGATTACAGCCAAATATTATTGGTTATGTAGATGGTAAAATGGGCTGCATACAGGCTATACAGTGATTTTGCAGGTTAGAAAAGGTTCAAAAGAGCTGCAGGTAGGGATGTGTTGGGGCTACTGGGATATACAGGATCACAGTGGACATAAGATGTGGATGCATTGCAGAAAAATAGGTATGACACCATGTAAATTCCCATATTGTATATTGCCTCCGATACACACACCCCTTATATCCCTAAAACAAGCAGCCATCCTCAACACCTTGTAGCCCCATGATCGTAGAGGAACAAAGAATCACTGGTGATATGGGAGATTAAGGGGAAACAGGGTGAGGAAAGGAGATTAAAGAGCATTGCCCTAGTAGCAGCATGCAGAATGAAACGTGTTTGGGGAAGGGGTCAAAGTGAAGTGGGTTGCACTCTAAGGAAAGGCATATGTAGGGAGAAATAGGGGACTATGAGGAACATTGTTGGGTGGAAAGGATGGCACAAGGCAGCAGGTAACACATGGTGGTTAGTACATATGTGCGTGCTGAATACACGCAGTAATTACAGAAAACATTCAGCTTCACCAATGAAGGTGGGAAAGTTACTGCCACAGTCTCACTTGCTTTAAAATGGTGACAGTTAACAAATATCCCATCCATCAGCAGCTTTTAACTACCATTTTCTAATGGAAAAAGAAGAGGAAAGGTAAGGATGAAAAGCAGTGAGCACAAAGCAGAACTTCCTACCCGCTCTACAACTACTCCCTCATAGCAGGAAGCAAGCAGAATAGAAAAGCAAAACAACCCCCTTAGTGGGTATCACAAGAAAACCTTTCTCCTAGTCTCTAATCGGATGTGACGTCAGGACGCCGGTAAGCCCAGCCCACGTAGGAGCCAGATATGACCACGCCCCCTCTCTTCCTCCTTCTCTCCCCCTCGGGTTCCAGCTTAGTGGTTGCTGTCCGTTTGTGTAATCAGCCACTACTACAGGTTCCTTTCCTGCCCGCTCCAATGTAGCGTGGTCTTACCGCTACAGGTAGTCCAGCGTCATATTGCTGCTACTTCGCGTGCTGGGGATAGAAAACATCCTCGCATTCCCTTAACAAGGAGGAGGAGTTAACACCACCCTCCCAACCTTTTCTTCCTCCCCTGAGGGAGCCGACCCTCCTCCTCTCCGTCCCTATCAGCTGTTCGTCATGAAGGCCCTGCCTCTTCCGGGTCTCTTTGGCTGGGCCGTTGCCTCCTCCTCTTTCTCTTGCTCTCTCCCTTTTGTGAGTTATAGCAACCGTTGCCTTGTGAATCAAGCGCCATAGTCACTGTAGTCCTGGTGACTGTTACCTATCAACAACAACTGCTTTTCTGCTGCTCTTCATCTTCTTCCTCATTGTCGCCTACAACAACAGCCACCAACAGCAAGAACAACAGCAACGCAGTCCTCTGCAGCTCAGGTGAATGTGATTGTTCTGTACGCGCTTGCAATCCCTCTTTTCTCTCCCTTCTTTCTTCTTTCCTTCCCTCCCCCTCCCCCCCCCCACAACCCCCCCACTT